AGTACCTGGAGAACCAGAGCTTTCTCCACAGGGACCTGGTGAGCGAATACTATCTGTACAAGTACTCATAAAGTACCTCTAAAGTACCTGGAGAACCAGAGCTTTCTCCACAGGGACCTGGTGAGCGAATACTATCTGTACAAGTACTCATAAAGTACCTCTAAAGTACCTGGAGAACCAGAGCTTTCTCCACAGGGACCTGGTGAGCAAATACTTAAAGTAAAGATACTCCTAAAGTACCTGGAGAGCTTAAAATCTGACCCGGATTTTTCACAAATTATTCAAATGTTTCACTTTTAATTTCTGGAAAATGTTCAGACTTGTACCACTCACTCGTTTATAAGAGATTTTAAGGAACATTTTCCATTTTTTTGTTTTACTTTTTAACTAATTTCATTCACATATTGTCCAAATAATTTGCAGAAATCTTTCACAGAATAACACAAAAAACTGGGGATTTTTTTATTACATTTTTCAACACATTTTGATATTATTATTATTTGGGGATTTTTCTTAGCATATTTTACATTTTGAATCCGATGTTTTTCTGATATCCACAAATTGTGTCATTATGTTTTGTATGATATTCACATTTTTTTCTACAAATTATTCACATATTTTGCTCCATATCTCTGGAAAGTAACTCCGTCTGTTATCACCCATATTTCAAAGATTATTTCAGAATTAATTTTTCACTAGTTTGTTTTTGCCATATTTTAATGTTTGGTATTCTTCTGTCAGGCAGCGAGGAACTGTCTGGTGAACGAGCAGAACGTGGTGAAGGTCTGCGACTTCGGGATGACCAGGTACTGACACATTTAATTTATACACATCGTTAATTATATGGGGCGGGACATCTCTTAGCGGTTGACCAATCAGCTAACCAATCAGAGCAGACTGGGCTCTGGTTTCAGACAGAGGGTGAAAAGAGGTGCTGCAGTACAGGCAGTATGAGAGAAATAACGAGCTTTTTGAACATTGAAGCATGGAGACATGTCACTTTGAACAGAATTCTGACATGTGTGTGTTCAGGTGTGTGTTCTTGTGGTGTGTTCAGGTACGTGTTGGATAATCAGTACACCAGCTCCGGTGCGACAAAGTTTCCAGTGAAGTGGTCTCCTCCTGAAGTCCTGCACTACAGCAAGTACAGCAGCAAGGCCGACGTCTGGTCCTTCGGTCAGCACACACACGCACACGCACACACACACACACACACACACACACACACACACACACACACACACACACACACACACACACACACACTACTTAGTACAGTACTACGTATACTTAGTATAATGTATGTACTAGTAAC